CTATAGATAAAAATTATGTACCCATAGCATCACTCAAATTTCTATTCGAAGCATTCATGCCCTTTAATAAAGAAACAAGACACTAATAAGCCATAAAAGAATGAAGTGAACGAAATTGTGATACCTGAATTTATAAGCTCGAGGCAGCCTGCATATGACAAAGTAGACCCCATAAGGTTGTAAGGGCTGCTCGAGGTCAAGCAACTCCATGAGTTTATAGGGGCTGATCGATCACATAAAACCACATCCTAATAGCAAAAACCACCCATATATTCTTTTCTGTGTCTCGATGGATAAGGATACACGTCCTTATCCGTATTGTGTAGTCCTAAGTGAAAACAAATGTATAAATGGTAGACAAATTGTTGTCAAACGACCTCCCGAATGATGATGTAAGTATTGTTTATTTTAATCGACATCGACCAAATAACTGAATGTATATCGACACCATAATTGTCTAAACCAATCATATTATCCACTTGAACCATTTGAAGTGACCTAATTAAATTAAGGGAAATTACACTGTAGCCGGTGTTTAAAATTCACAATTCAATAATCAGGCCTCAAGTTTCTTAGAATGTGGATAGAATCACATCATTAGTTAGCAGAAATTCTTATACCAATAATCACGGGTTTTTGTGGACCAACCCGTGACCTGACCTGCCAAAAAAGGAACCCAACCAAAAAAATAAAAAATAAAAACCAACCCAAACCGGTCGGTTCGGGTCGGTTTGGGCGGGTTTTGCCCACCCCTTGCTATTGTTTTCATTGTGGGTGCCAACATCTTAGCTGGTGGAGCCTTTGATGGGGCGTCAATGAACCCAGCAGTGTCATTGGGCCCATCTGTGGTCAACTGGACCTGGGACAACCACTGGGTCTACTGGGCGGGGCCTCTAATTGGTGGTGGGCTTGCTGGGCTTATCTATGAGTTTTTCTTCATTAACCAAACCCATGAACAGTTGCCTACAACCGATCACTAATTAAGATTTGAGTGAATAAAGAGAAAAAAAAAAAGAAAAGAATTGTCCAAGGGGTTTCCTCCAGCGTATGTATTCATTCCGAGGGTTTCGGTTTCCTTTATTTTTTTTTTTCATGTTTGATTTGTAATTATCGGTAGCCATGGCGTGCAACAAGAACTTGGATCACCTCGGATG